CAGTGCGGGTTCGTGAAACCAGGGACTACAGCGCATAGAAATACAGTACAGTATAATACTGGTAGGAACCTCCTGATTACACCAGCCCACAGGGGATTATTGTGTCCGTCGTGCAGGGAGGGGCTGGGTGGGGAGGGGAGGGTGGAGAGGGGCTGGGTGGGGAGGGTGGGGCTGGGTGGGGAGGGGCTGGTCACCCCGTGGTGCCCTTATAAAACTCAACGTTTGTGCCCACCCTCACAGTCGGGCATATTTGCAGAATACACCACTCCGCCGTTGACCCTGGCCATTGACCGAGCAACCCAACGTTACTACCAGCTCCCTCCGCAGCAGGAATGTGTTAATGTATTTTCCTGCACTGACTTGCGCTGCCCGCTATGTAGAGCCATACATAACACAGGTTAGGTATGGTGGTCACTCAATAGCTATTCATATCAGGTATCTCAATAAAGCTTGTCTTAGGGTGCTTTACATAAAACTACATTGACATGAATTCGAGCAATTTTCAGAATCAGACCTGCTTAGCTTCCAATATCTGACAAGATTAAGGTGCATTCCAGGCTGATTTAGGCTCTAGGCTTGGGTCTCGTGAAAAAACACATCGCTTTCAAAAATAGCACAGGCGCTCTAGATTCGTGTAATCTGCTACTAACTCACGTGCAGCCGACTGGGTGTGGACCAATGAATGAATGAAACACTGGACATGCGGGTACATTTCACAATGCAAATGTCTGTTAGTTTAGGCGCAAAGACAATGGAGATCTTCACAGTGAACACGGAACATTGGGCCAAAGTTGGACGAACGGAGATGCAACGGTTCCGACCACACGCCAGACTTGGGCCAACGTTGCACGATGTTTCCTGGGCTACAGCCCAAGAGGGATTTCAAATATTCCTCAGACACACTCCTAGATCAATGTCCCTTCACCTTAGGTACTACTTAACCTTCCCCCCTCGCGCCGTGGTCTGCACGCATGCACGCAGCTGTCTGTTCGCACAGTGTGAGGCTACACCCCCGCCTGGAGCAAGTAGTGTCCATCTGTGCACATGTGGGTACAAAGTATGTAGGCGTGCACATCTTGTGCATGAAATCCCAGCACATTTTCAGACAAACAAGTTTGAGACAAACAAGTTTGGGACAAGTTTTGGACAAACTTGTGTGCTCGTGTATGCTGCATGTTTCCGTGTTTTCAGAAACGAAAACTAAAGTCTGCATGTGATTCGTGCTCAAATGAGCATTGAGGCACCGCTCATCTTTGGTTTACAGTCCTGAGCCAGTGGTGTACAATTCACGTTCCTATGGAGGGGATGAGTTTACTCGTAAAAAAAATTGGTACTCATTTTATCATCCCCAGAAGGATGATTGGCTGAGTCAACCCCCCCCCCCCCCAAACTAAGACTTGAACTGCTCACCACTGTATTGTGTGCCACTTGCTCTAATAAACTCAACAACAACAAATAGCGCAGGCCGCGAAACTTTAAGTTTCAAACGACACGCGCAATCGTGTTAGAAGCACGCTGTGTGCACAAACGGCTGTCACATTTTTGCACGCCGCTCACTCCACCGCTGAGCCACCGGATACAAAGAACAAGAGGAACCGTTTCCTCGAGTAGACCTGGGTTCTACAAAGAGACGCATTTTGACGGAACATTCTGCCTTTTGAGAGAGACTGTGTCTTCCAGCGTGTGACCACGCAAAGTGTCCCTTTAAAAGGATTCCTGGTAATGTTTTTTTTACTATTTTGAAAGAAACATATTGCTGGAAGCACTTTTCCCCGTGTATTAATCCATGGGCACATACCAGATGACAAAGAAAACACAAAACACATTTCTCAATAACACTGCTTTGAAATGAAAAAACATACAACAGGGAACGTTTGGGGCAATGGTCCTTGTTCATAGCACAGACCAGGTATATCACAGATTAGTCCCACGCCGAAGGTGGCATAGCTTTAGTGAGTCCAATTTCTCTATGTGGCCAATAACAGTGAATTACATGATAACGAATTAAAATGAGTGGGTTATCAAATAATTCATTCGTATTGTCCATATCAATAAATACGTACTAAAAAGTGTTGCTACCTTAGTTGGTACCACTTTCTGCTCTGGCTCGTGACCTATATGCTGGGCTTTAGGGAAATTGCTATACCATTCATTGTGCCCAGCAGGAAAAGCTCCGGGTGCGAGGAGAATAGTAGTTTCAATTACCTCTCTAATGGGTTGAGAGATTTCCTCCAAGGGGCTCGGTGTTGTTGGGGAGAGGCTAAATCACTAAGCAAACAGTGAGCTGCCTCGTTTAGAATCTCGCCGATTTCACTTATCAATTTGTTTGATGGTTTGCAATGTCTGTCTCTATTAAAGGGCGATTCGTTTTCGGGTGTAAAGTGCATGACGATGAGGAGGAGGAAAAGTAACAGCAAGACGCTCGCTTGTGGCTTCGCAGGTTCAAATCGCAGGAAAAAGGCCGGCACACACAATCGTAATGCACGACTCCCTTCGAGAACAAACTCAAATTTATAGTTCTCAGTATATAACTTTCCACTGCAAGTGCATATTAATTTTAAAATGTGGCTCAAAACATTGTGCTTGCAAAATAAAGTCCGTATATACAACCCTGCCGAATTAGGTTTAATGGGCAAGAGCGGAAAGCTTTTGCATCCTAGCACATTTATGGGGAATAATAAACGTAATAATAATTATTTAAATTGGAGCAGTGCAGTGTTTACCGCACTGCGCAGGGAACCATTTACTCGAGATCAATCCCCGGTCATGGATAGCAGCAGTGGCGACTGATGATTGAACCAGTTCTGCCCCCCGCCCCCAAGCCCAGGTCACCAACTCATGCTGACCAGTGTGGTCAACTATGGTCACCAATGTCAACTAGGGTCACCAATGTCAACTATGGTCACCAATGTCAACTAGGGTCACCAATATCAACTAGGGTCACCAACGTCCACTAGGGTCACCAATGTCAACTAGGGTCACCAATGTCAACTATGGTCACCAATGTTAACTAGGGTCACAAATGTCAACTAGGGTCACCAATGTCAACTAGGGTCACCAACGTCAACTAGGGTCACAAATGTCAACTAGGGTCACAAATGTCAACTAAGGGTCACCAATGTCAAATATGGTCACAAATGTCAATTAGGGTCACCAATATCAACTATGGTCACCAATGTTAACTAGGGTCACAAATATCAACTATGGTCACAAATGTTAACTAGGGTCACAAATGTCAACTAGGGTCACCAATGTCAATAATGGTCACAAATGTCAACGATCAATACGTCTCGGGAGTGCGGCAACCGGTCACGTGGGGCCTCAACATTTGATTTGTGTCTCGCAGGTCGCACCTGGGCTATTATAATTATTATACATCGCGGCTCCTCTTGCCTCATCACTTCGTTACGCTCACGGTTACGAACATTCAACAGATCCCATGGCGGTGGTCAAGGGGGCTCCCAACTCGCAGCTTTGGCCACCGGGGGTGTTAAGGCACCCCCTGTCCCCACGCTCGTTACGCTACTGGCGCAGGGAACCTACAAACAACAACGATGATGATTATTATTATCATCACGCTGGAACGCACGAGCAGCTCACGTGCCTGAGGAGCGCCTGCACGCACGTGCCTGAGGACGGCCTTCTTACAGAACCTTCCGCTGGTGGGGGGGGGGACTTCGGGAGGGTGAGCGGGAGGTGAGCCCCATCACACCGCGTGCTCCCTGGGCCTCGACGCACGTGGGGCACGACCCCGACACGAACGCCTCCATTACCCTCGGCACGGTGCTGAGAAGCAGCCCTGTGGCCAGCCAGCCCCGCTCGGTGTGCCCCCACACTAAATGGTGCCAACCCCCCCACCCCACACCATTGCCACTCTACTGCTTCCTCCCCGATTGCCTCCTCACTGCTGCTGTTGCTGACCAGATTCTTACAACTTCTTTTCGAAGATTTCTCCCGGATCTCAGGGCCACCTGAATTCGATTCTCAGCCCGACCTGACCCCTCAACCACTGTGGTGCACTCCGAGAGTCTCCCGGGCCCAGAGGCGTCGGTGGAATCAGCCGAGGTGAAGAGTCGGGGTCTCATGCGGTCTCAGGCGCATCGGTATAGATTTTGACACCACCGCTGTCGATGAGGTGGCCAATAGGAAGACGTGTCGGCCGCGAACGGCAAGAACTTTTCTTTTTATTTGACCAAGTATGGTCCATTGAGCTGTGTAGCTCGTTTTCAGAAGCGACCTGGCCACACATGAAGGCTCAGCGAAGTGGCTGATCATGTGGAAATGTATAGCAGCCAAGTACTCTAAATGCATTTGTTGAGTTTCAATGCGGAGGGAAAAACCGGAAAACCCGGACAAAGATCCACGTGACTACGGGGAGAACACGCAACTGAAAATCTACAGCAGCAGCAGCAGGCGTAAGGGTCGGGAGCGACCCCACGACCTCCTGCACACCTGGCGAGGGAGTCAACATCTCCTAGCCACCGTGATGCTGATGATGAGAGAGAGACACGCAAACTCCAAATCTACAGCAGCAGCAGCAGCAGGCGTCAGGGTCGGGAGCGACCCCACGACCTCCTGCACACCAGGTGAGCAAGTCAAAAAATCGCCACCGTTGCGCCATAGTTACCAGTGCGATTTTCCGAACCCCTCTGTGCGCCATGATTAATGATCGATTTTGTGTCGTACACCCTCAGGAGCGAACCAAGATGAACAAGAGGTTAGAGGATCACCAAAGGAACATCAACTACACACACAGGTGTCAGAAACTGCAGAACATGGCCAGCAAGGAAATATGATTGTTTTGAGAATTTTTATGTTACATGTAAAACGAATTATTCCTTGGCAAAAAGTTGATTCGAGAATTTATTGAAATTTAATGAAAGGTAAAAAAATGTTAACCTTGCTGAGGTAAACCTAGCTGACAACTAGCTGACAGCTCGGTTAACCTCAATAGTATTTAAATCCATAAAACATTCCAGCTTTATTATAACATTCTTGTATTAACCATGTCTAACATGTATCACCACGTCAGTACACCTACCTTCATATCAGTATATCTATCAATTGTAATCTCCCGGAATTTTTTTTTTATAATTTACGCAAACACATGAACCTATAGGCATCGCTTCCTGCTCCCCATGCTCACCTGTGCGGGCATGTCGGTGGCCTCACGCCACCTATTTCATGTCCAGGACTTGAGAAGATTTCCACAATTCTGACAATTGCCTGATGATGCTACTTGTGAAAAGTTGTGCATTGCTCGCCAATAAACCCATGTGCTGAAGCAATACAACATCGGCGCGTTTGTGCACGTGTCCAACTTTATTAATTTCGCCGTGTCGGCTGGAGGAGGGTATACGACACACATTGTCATTTTACTATTGCTATGTGACTAGAATTCAATAGTGAGTCAATATTGGTCGCGAAAGCCAGTCTCCAACGACTCCAATACCATTCTCCGCCACTTGGCGGTAGGAATTCGCTACATCCGCAATAGCAAGAATACATAGCGTCGAGTGCAATGTTTTTCTTCTCATTAACAATACCAACATAATTGCATCACAAATTGGCTACGTTCGAAAGGCTGTAGGTCAAACCACACCTCGTCATAGCTAACTGCTCTAACGCGCCGCCTCATTAAATGTGCTTCATCGCAACGCCACGCTGCTGCCTGTGAATTCTCTTCTTTCCCTCCCAGCAACACAAGACAGAAACTTTTTTTTGTTCAAGCACATTACCAGCAGGCAGTCGGGCGGGAAGCCAACATTGAGCTCACTGTGAGTTCGCATTCATTTAAATGTGAAAAAAACTGCGAGCGCAAAGCAGTTTGACAGTGGCCTAGTTGTGATAATCCCTCCTCCTTGCAGATGAGGATTTTACTCTAGTCGCGGAAACTTTGGCTATTTCCGCCAAATATGAATTATCCTCACTGATTGCTTTGCCACAGTTGGTTACGTACCAATGTGCTGATAAGTGCCGACCAGTTTCTTGACAATGTTAACATATTCGCATCTTAAGTCAGTTCGATATCTTCCAGGAACAAACAGTGCAGCATACAAAACGCGTCTTGCGCACACGAGGATGCGTGAGCAATTTCCCAACGTTTGGCATGCACTCGTTTAATCGCTACATCCATTTTTGGATTATAATTAAAAAGCGCGCATTCATGGGCTCCGTGTTAACGCGTCTCGCCGAGTTGGAGTGGCGCGATGCGCTGAGAGCTGACGACGAGTGTGCCGTGGGGCGGTGGTGTTCATTCTGTCTGCAGCGACGCCTGCCCTCTCGGCCGTGGCTCGTGTACAATTTGTTTTGAAGCGTTTGAGAGGAGCTGATGGGCAGCCAAAAACGGGGGTGGGATAGGAGAGGCAAGGGCAGGTAGCTGAATGAGAATGAAAGGTGACATGAAGTGTTTACAGCAGCACGTGTTCTGCAGACTGCTCAACACTGAAGACCGCGCAGGTACGAAGTGGCATCTACACAGATGAAATGCCATTCATATGTACACATGAGTGAGGATGTGGAGAAATATTTGTGCAAATGGTGTACGGTACGTTCCGCACCTCTGATTCGCACGGTTGGCTCCATAAGGTGCGACAAAAGTGAAACATACATCGTGACAAAATATTTGATTTCGGTTAGTGGTGGTGAATTGGTCATGATGGTGATCATCAGAAGCAGCAGCATCAGCCACTTCTTGGATAAAACTGTCCGCACGTCATGGGCATCTCTCACGGTCCACACAACGCAACAATCCACCCCGCTCCTCTGGCCCAAGCGATCTCATCGCTCCGTGGGGCACGTTCCCTCGTCCGTTCTCGCCACACGTCCGAGTTGGGTCCACCTCGGGCAGTTATTGAAGACCGACTGAGAACATAATCATGAAATATACATTTAGACGAGAGCTGGTTGGAGTACTTAAAAAAAGAACGTTTCATAATGTATAACTCAGTAATGAAGTAAATAATGTCTATTTCATTTAACTCTTTACTTTAGCAAGGTCATTCTAAGAGTCTTGAGATTGAGGCTTTCTAGAATCGTCGATACTACGTATTAACATTTTAATTAATGTTTAAACATGATCTAAAAATACAATTGTTTTCGTGTACATCAATCTCGTTGTTTTCTTTGAAGTTTTGTAACGTGACCTTCAATACCTTATATATATAGAAAAAACAAGGACACCAACAAGCAAAGTTGATCATTATAAATTACTGGACAAAGCAAAGTCCACGTGGGGTGGGGATTGTGGTAGTGCACTCTGAACCTGGCAACCTGAGTTTGATTCCTGGCCACGAGCAACGTCATTGCTGAACTCCTCTCCTTCCCCAACCCGCACTGACCAACGAGGTGAAGTATGGCCAAACAAGCCCTAGGACTACGAACGTGTCATGGGAAGGCCTTTACCCAGCAGTGGAATAATTAAAGCCTGATAATAGTTACAATGTATATATATATATTATGCTTTGATATATTATGTAACACAATATTGAAAATTAACATTCTGCAGTTGTGCTCAATAAAAAAAAAAAACTTTGAGTTGTAATTTGGCTTTTCGCCCTTACAATAAAGTTATTGTATTGTCCAGTCAACAAAAAACCCAATTAACTGAATGCACCAAAACAGAGCTGCATGATAGAGTGTCACAGCGTGGCCAGTGGTAACACTTGTGCTGGACAACGAGGAGCGCCTGGTGATTAATATGGACGAGGTCGCCCTCCCGTGTGGAGTCTGTCTGCGTGTGCTCCCCCTGTTCTGCAGGGCTTCCCTCTGCGTTCTCCGCTCTCCTCCCACAACAAGCAAACAAAAACAATGTTGTTGGTATCGACCAAATATCTCAAGAAAATTACACTATATGCAAATGACTACATTTAAATGGCACATAGCAACATTTGCCACGACTGTGAAAACCTGGCAGAAACTCTCCAGTCGCAGCCTTGTGACTCAGTGAGGCTTTCCTGAGGAAACGACTGCAGATAAACTAACACGTACTTTTTGACTTCTCTGAGTTTGCATAACATATCCACACTTCTGTTAATAGATTATCCAATGGTTTTCCGGCCTGCACTATTTTTCTGTTATGATGGGGATTTCTCGTAATTTAAAGATTATATTACCAGTAACTTGTTATATCTAGACATGCATTATATATGTGCATGGTCTATAGGCCGCAACCCATTTAGTGATGGTGCCAACACAACCAATGCTGACAAAAAAAACAGGTACATACAGTATCTTCTAAAAACAAACACTATCAAGAGGCCCAGATGGATCCTTCAAAAGTCTGGCCCTGCAATCGCTCGCTCATGCCACTGGAGGCAGTCCCTCTTGAGGGTAATTGGTCTACTCTTCCACGCAGATTGTTTGACCGACAACCACCGTTCGTTGTGTTTGCTTCACGCCAATGGACTCAACCCGTGCAAGCAATAACTGCAGGAGTCCTTTGTAGTCCCAGATAAGCTTCCAGTGCCGAGGTGGGTCACGGTAACACAGGTCGAAGGTGGCCGTGAAGGTCCACCATTGTTGTTTCCGTTTGAGGTCTCCAAACACTCCTCTCAGATCACTTCTTTCAAATCAGGATTCAGATCACTGGCCACAAACCTGCCATCGTGCAATGCAATGGGAATCTGGTGAACGCGCAGTGTTTCTGTGGGAATAAGCGTAAGTGGAGCACAGTAATACAATCTTACACCGTATTTCCGGAAAACGCATTTGCTAGCATTTGGTGCATTTACCTCATGACCATAATAACGATTTACCTGACCATTTACCTCATTACCATGGACATTATATTGGTGACATGTTTTCACCTCACTGGATGGAGCGGAGTGTGGTTTTATTTAGAGAAATTTGATTATACGTTCCAATTTTCCCAGTGTTCATTCATTTTGAATATCGGTTAGCACAATGGACTTGCAATCCAAAGGTCACTGGCGAAGTCTCCCCGCGTAGCGGTTGAGACAATGAAGAAAGAATATCACCCCCACCGCCTCCCTCTGTCCACCCAGCACTGTCAATGGGTAAATCACAGTTAGTCGAAGTGCAGGTGGCTTCTGATGAGGGTCATCCCCACCTCTTACAAGATGTCTGGCCAATGTATGTTGAACGTCTTTCGCACTATACGTAGCCAACCATGTTAATCGGAGGTGCGAAGTGGAAGAGTAGGCCAAATATGCTGTGGAGAGGCTCTCTGGAGCTCCCTCTAGTTGGAGACCCTTTGACAAACGGTGGCATGAGCAGACAATTGCAGGATTTCACTTTTATACTAAACCAGAATATGTCGAAGAGTCAACCTATCCAGAGAGGGGTGGGATCCAGACAGCACACAAACACATGCCACGCAGCAATGTGCTCACTCACTAGAGAAACAGATAACGTAGCAGGTCTCACAGTATTGTTCTTGTCCAGATAAACTTAAAATATGTTTTTGTATGTCTCTCACTTCAATAGATTTGGACAGGCAGTGATGGGATGTCCCCCCCCCTTCCCACCCAATCTCGATAACCCCAACTGAAATGTCTGTAAATGAACCATCTCTGGAGTCAATCAGATCATTTCATCCAAGACCGCTCTGCGGGTTACACAGTGTAACAAGCCACCACTTTATAGATATTTAGTAAAAATGTTTAAATAAACTAAAATACTGATTTCTAACATTCTAAACATATTCCGACAATTTCACCTTGTGGAATGCCCGCTTTATACGACCCCAATTCCCCTTCAAAAATCGGCATCGCTCTTTCCTCAGATTATAATCAGCAGCATATTTTGTTACGTCAAGGATTACAATATTAAGTGTCTTCTGTGAGACTGAAAGCGAGAAAATTCATTTCTGGATTTATGTCACCAGGTAGATATGTGCATTTTGCACAGGAGTGGGTGTCGGTACGTTCGGTTTTCATCCTGCCGGTTGTTACCTTTTACATATCAAGAGCAGATTTATTTGTTAACATTGTGGCTGTTAATGAAAATCATCACTTCCACGACCAAAAACTCCTTGGAAAATGTCAACGATGATTCGCACATTTTAATTAAAATACAAATGGCTCGGCCACACGATTGATCTACAATACAGCTTTCTCCTGAGGGCACTGCCTTCATATTGAAGCAAGATTGTCGGTCAGGAAAAAGACAGATTTCTCTTCCTACTTTATGAAAAATCACTGACTCTTGAGAAACAGAAAAAAAACACTTACAAATTACGCCTGCGGTTCTGTGAAGTCCACAGATTAAAACATTTTACCAGCAACAAAAACAATATCAAACCAAAGTGAATAAAGTTGTATGTGTCCACACAAGTGTATGTGTGTGTGAGCAATAAGTACACATGTATTTGGGAAAAAATAGATGCTCAACAACATAAGCAAAGCCTCCTTCCCATTATTGTCACGTTAAAACAATAAAGCAATAATACAGATCCCATTGGCTGCACGGCTTTCAGGGATAGCATCTTATCAGCAGCAGCAGTGGTTCAATACAAAGCAAATTCATGACCAGGGTTGACAGTAATTGTCTCATCAACAGTCAGCGCTTGCTGGAACATATTCCGCTGAACTTACTGATGTTTACAGACAAGAAGGACCATCTCTACATGCAATGGGGTCCCTAGTTAGGAGCAAAACTATACAATACACAACGCACCGCGCAAAATAGTCGCCCGGTGTCGTCACGTTAATATACGTGGCTCGGGCTGATTCCGTCTGCTTCTGGCACACAAAAGGTCACAACAAAGCCCGCTCCATCGCGAGCCCAAAGTACACGAGACAGCCGCGTGCGCTCTAAACTCATTTCCTGCCAGAATGTCACCCTGACACCTGAGGCAATAAATCATAGCTCCTGGGGGGGGGGGGGGGGGAATAAAAGGCCACATCTCTCGAGGTACGTTGTGGGTCTCGGGGACTTTATATCAAGTGCGTTTTATCGAGGCATCTCAGCTTCCGAGGCGAGCAGATAACGCCGCTCTCATAAGAGCGTCGTGAACGCTCGCAACATCCTGCCAAAAAGGCCAAAAGTGTTGTCCTTACAAAGGGTACCCAGTTCGAGATCACAATCTTTAAAATGGGTTTAAACTGAGACGTTGAAAAAAAAACCGCATGTAAGAGAATAAAACGGATCGAGATTTAAAGGAATACATAGCGAGACGTATAACACACGTAAGACAATTTCGAAAGAGCACTGTATTTATATGCGCATCAGGCTGAATGTATTGCGCTATGCTATATGTGCCTGCCCGCAAATTGTGCATGAAAGACGTATTGCGAAAATGATTTAATATAGATAAGAGCACAGTTTTTACTTGCACCTCCGACACGCCCTGTTCCGATGTTGCCTGTTCTTCTGCATGGGCCACTCTGATGTTGTTGTTGTTGTCTTTGTTCTGCGCTGATGTCACCACGGATCTCCCTTGCAAGCTAGCTGGGTAACATTCTACACTCGACTTTCCGTGTGACAAATAAACATTAACCACATATTTCACTGGCTTTGGCAGTGGATCCTCCGATTAGCACGGTAGGCCGTGTACGGTGCGAAATAAGATCAACATACATAGAATACATCCTGTAATTCGGGCAGAAGTGAATGGCTTACAGTTGGAGGTCTTTAACCACTTCCATCTCATGTAAATCCACAAAGCAAGCATTATTAATTAAGCAGGCTGGATAACTGATCCACACTTATACTTCATAACAATTGCTTCATTATAGAAGTACAGATTATGCTTTAGCCATTTCAAGTAGAATATCGTAATTTATTGCATTTGTGTTTCTCTCGCTCAGCTGTTTACTTGCTCAATCAGCGCACAGTACAATGACATTAAAAATATGTATTTCATGGTACGTCTAGTTCAATCACTCTACTTATCACTCATT